TGATTGTAAATTAGATAAATAGATATATTATTTAATGAAATATATTTTTCAGCTACATGTTTTGAAAATTTATAAATTAGTATGTATAAACAGAGCAGCTTTTATTTTATGTAATAATAAAAATTTCTTTATTATTTGTGATTGAGGTGATTTTTTGACTTAAGGATGTTTATCACATATTTGATAAGGAGAAAATTTAGCTCAAAATTCAGAGAGGTGAGAGGAGCGCAAATTCATGGAGCAACGGTGGAGATTATTTTTCTCATAAGCATGTTCTTACATACACGCTTTTACGCGCATTCAGCCCCTTCGATTTTGTGTTGTTGAAAAAAAAAAAAAAAAAACATTAGTGAATATTAAAAAATTTATCGAAATAACACCCAACTAACATAGGTACACTCATTCCAACGATAATTGCACCACTTTTGTACACAATATCGTTTCATAGGCGGTAAATGTATAATTATATTATTTGTCGTGTAATTTCAAAGAAGTGTAAGTTCTTACTAGAGTACCCAAGCACCCACTGTCCACTGGTTTTATTTTAAAAAATAGTTGAATAATTTAAATTTTTTCTTTCATGGTTCATAAAAAAAAAATAAATGAAAAAGGAATGGGTTTCCGCCGATCAATCACGCTTTCCGTACTTGACCTTTTTGTCTCCTCACACTTTTATTTCTCATGACTTTGTAGTGGTCAAAATAAATCATAGTTTTAAGTTAGAGTATTATACCTCAAACGCAGAAGCTTGGCGAGAAATAAACGAGCTCGATGCGCAAAATTTCTTTGTTTTATTTTTCAAATTCGTAATGTGATACTGTCGTTTCCGAAAGGTTAAATACCTATTAAAACGTAGTTGAAAGAAAAAACATAATAATTCGTGATAAGTAATCTCCCTTAGAGTGTGAGACCTTCTCGCATTTACGAATTTTGGTGTTTTTTTCGGGCAATAGAGTTTTATAAAAATTTAAAATTCATTCTTTTTCAGTACCATTTATAGCTACGAAGAGCTGTGCTGCATAAACGCACTCGACGCGAAAAAAAAGATGCTAATTAATCACTATTCATGCTTGACCTTTTCGTCTTTTTTAACTGCTATCTTTATGACTTTTAAGGAGTTTATGAAAAATACAATTTTAAAGTTATCGTATTTGAAAGGTCGGAGATTCCTGCTGAATAAATGTGCTAGATGTGCAAACCTTCTTGTTTTTTTTTTTTTATGATTTTATTGAATGGTACTTCAGTTCCCAAAGAATTAAAATTCCATCTCTTAGTAGTTGAACGTTAAAAAATCAAGAGTTTTTTTGAGTATTTGCGCTTAACGCGTGAGACCTTCTCGCATTCTGCTTTACTTTAGCAGGCGATAAAATTTTTTAGAGAAATGTAATGAAATCGTTTCTTAGTGAATTTTACAGCAGAAAAGAGCTGCGCTGAATAAACGCAGTTGACGCACGTAATCATCTGTCAAAAATCAGCTCTCGGGCTTAAATACTTCAGGCTGTCTACTTGGATTCCGCACTGGTGACTAATTAAATGGTAACTGATTAAATCTCTGCAGTTGGTTACCTTGTTCTCTGGCACACCTATTACCCTCTTCGCCGTAAAAGAGTTGAGCTATACGTAGTTGCCCCTCCACAATGCTTAGTGCCCGCATCTTGAGACTTAGTGCTCTGTATTTGGTGGGATTGATCGATGTTTAAATTAACAATATTTTGTTAAGTATACGTTGAATTCAAATTTTGTAAAAAGCTTTTCGATGGCTTTAGATGAGCTTAATCGCGTAATGTAGTTTTCTAGGCTGAAAATTAGAACTCCCTGTGCATTAACTCGTAATTAAAAAACAATTCTGGATTGGTCTGACACTATCAGTCTTTTTCCTTAAAGCGTATACTGAAAATATGACAAATTCAATTCTATGTTATTGTATGCTGACATGCGATGCGATCGACCCTTGTCCCAATTCGAAATTCCGCTTAAGTTCACGAACATAAACTAGAATTAATAGACCTTTAATGTGAATAACATTTGCTTTCTTAATACATAATGAAATTTTCACTTAACAAGTACTTGACAAAAAAATAATTAAATCAACCAATTATTTGAACCAAAAACGATCTGTAATAGCAAAATTATTTTTATGTGTACACACGTATTTCATAATGTTAAGAAAATGAGAGTGTAATATTTTCTTTTAGACAGGCCATCTGCTTACAAATTTGTAATGTTAAATAACCTGAATTTACCTAAGTTCGTTGGTTGATTAACTGTCACCCTGTTACATCTTATGTCATATACTTCATATACTTAATATTTATTACTTCGAAACACAGAGTTTCGTTTTTAAATTATAAAAAGCAAAAGCTCAGCGATCTCAATCCATCGAGCGGTATACCTGCCTCTGCAATCGCGTGACATATTCGTGATTTGACATCGCGTGATTAATCAACAATTTCAACACTCCTTACTATGAATGTATACAAGAAATATCATACACAATTTTGACAGCAACTTGTACTTGATATAAAATCTGATAGATCAGCAGTTTTAAACATCAATTACTGTGAAAGTACTGCACCACGACTGTGCTCATGTCAGTTGACGATAATTAGGTTAAGCTCTGATAAGTCGTTTGGATCCCCAACTTTACGCGTATTCCTTAAACGCAAGAGTATAAAAATTCCTCGTACATAACAATATTCGCCTTTTCTCTTTCATCAAGTGCTCTATAGTAACTATAAAGGTTAAAGAGTGAGTTCTGTTGTGTATTATAAGCGAATGTGAGACTTAGTTTGGTGATTAAGCTACGTGTCAAAAGCGTGCATTTCAAGTAAATGTAAGACTTAGTTCGGTGACTCAGCTGTGTGAAAAAAGCTCGAGCAAACTTGGCCATTGTAAACTCACCTAAAAAGTGAATCAAGGAGGAACAAGAAAGAAAGGATCGTTGATTCGGGTTCCCACGTTTAAAGCAGAAGCCTAATTATTGTCATTGCCACGAGTACTCTCGTGTATGATAAGAAACATCGTTGTGGTCAACCTTGTAAGATCTTACGACTGCGTGCGCGCAAGCAGTGCCTAACCAACGACCATAGATGTAAGTCAAGTTAAGGAAACTATATATATATAACTTGTATAACAATGTAATTGCGAATCTAAAACTTTATTATTTATAGTATTTGTAAAACTAACTACTTATGGCTTTTCTAAATATTATTAAATTATCAGATGAGACATTTTAAGATCTTATGACTCTAATTGATTGACACATAATTCTTACCTTAATAAATAAATTGAATATCGAGGGAAAATAAAAAAAATCAAATAAGGCCTTTGGGCCGATGGCTTGTTCCTGACGAACAAAAATTAAATTTTTTTGTTTGTAGAACGAATGTACGAGTTCTGCCTTTAACGTATAGAAAGTTGGACGTAACAACCTATAAATACTCTTCAGATGCATTGAAATACAGTTGAGTAAATCTCATCTCAGGTAAATAGAGAAGTCGCTTGAAAAATTGTAAATTGAGATCTTGAAAATTACAAAGTTTGCAAGTAATTAACATAAAATATCATTTTTGATAATGTCAAATCAGTTGTGGATAAAATAATTTGGTTACCATAAAGGTTTCTCTCATCTTTGTTTTGTGTTAAGCAAGGTAATGTTGGCGCTTGAAAATGACGTGGCAAAAGCTGATAAAACTTATAGCTTATGTCGATAAAATATGCCTATTTTATTTGTCATCAAGAAACCCTAAAATCATCGATATAGTTTTTTAATATTTCTTCTGAAAGATCACTAATTTAACACGTACCATAATCGTTAAGAAATTGACTATCACTCCAGAAGTATTGATAGACCTCAAATAATAATTTTTATATACAAACTATTTTTAATATTTTAAAAATGAAATTATTATGTCTAAGATGTTAAGAAAATTAAGAGAAAAGTGATCTGCTGTTTTTTGCGCATCTATAAATAGTGATAGGGAAGTTTAACCTTCGTTTTTGCTAATACATTGCAACTTTTAAGTACAATATGTGTAACTCAATATTTTTTATTTTTTTAAAACAATTTTTATATACGCTGAGGACTCTAGCTCGTTACAGCACCTAATGCCAAATTGACCTTAACGTTGGAAGATGCAATTAATTGGCCCCATCTAGGATACTTTATATTAAGTGTAAAAAAATACTTAAAGCAGATAAGTGTACAAAGAAAAGTGAGACACCAATTTGATGTTATAGGTAGTAAACTTACTTAAGGACATTTATTATAGTTAGCGGGGGGGGAAACTCGAATGTGACAGCATTGGCAATTGTTGTGAGTTGATACGTGTAACTGTATACATGCATCTGAGTCTGTTTTTAATTATTTCATCGCAAAAAATAATGGTATGTGGTATTGTGTCTCAAATTTGACATTTGACTTCCTAATTTTGATACGAATATCCCGTTAAAATTTCAAGAAGATTCTATAAAAAACGCTATTTTATCAAAATTTTTAAAAATTAAAAAAATTTTCTTCGTACTGCACAAATACAATAATGGATTTTTGTTGTGTTTTATTCTAACACAATTATTCCATTCACAATTAAAGTGATTTTATGACTTAAGGACATTCTTCATATAGTTAATGGAAGAAAAGTTCAGATAAGTGTGAGGAACGCAGCAGAGCTAGCAGTAGTTTTTTCATGTGGATGTACTCACATACATAATTTTATCCATACTTGATTCCCTCTTTGTAAATTTATTTAAAAATCAACTCATCAATATTTGCCATCTTCGCCATTTTCAAAATTAAACATGTTTAAAATAATGGCACAGTCAAATGGTCTGCAATTTTTGTGGAATTTTTAAATGCTATTTTAAATATATGTTTAATATTTGAATAATACCTGTCAAAAAAACCTATGTGACATTAACGTCCTGAAGGGACATGCAGTGGCATGTAATACTATCCTATTGCGAAGAAAAATAACTGGAAACGATTTTTTTTGTGTCTGCAGATGATGCAACTGATACCAGAAAATCTTCAGCGATGACAATTCTGTTTACACATGACACTGAATGTTTGCGGGCTTCTAGTCGAAGTTATATGGTGACTCAAGTGCATAATAGTTATCTTTTCACATTTGGTATCGATTTAGGTAAGTTATGAATTCTATGTTTTTTNATTTCTGGCCTTGATTGTGCGAATTTTATCGTCTACTTTGAATTTTGGCATTAGCTTTTGTTCGATGTTTTTTATTATTATACAATTTAATAATTGTCTTTCAATGATCCAACTATTTATTATTGCCTTGTAAGCTTAATTTTCTCCACATTTAGTCTTTTAAAGTACGATTAAACCGCTTGCATATAGATACTTTAAGATTGCTACGAGTTGAGTAAAAACTTATTTTATATTTTTCATTAAATTTTTGAAATTTGAATTGCTTAACTTTTAGCTACAAACGGTTTGCAAATTGACTGGTATTCTGCTTTCGTTGAATATTGACTGCATCGATGTTGACACTTCTTCACCATTTTTTTTTTTTTTTTTTTTTTTTGATGAAGCCTATGCTCATTATCGCCACGGTAGCACAGTGGTTTAGGCTGTGGTTCTTGTACCTCAGGGGCTTGTCAATACATGCCCGCGAGTTTAAAATCCAGCCTTAACTCACTTAGCTCGTATCTCTAGGAAACTAATTTATAATGTGCTTCTTTCTAACCGTGGTTTAATGGTTTGAAAGCTATGTAAAATAAGATTTCCCCATTTTTATGTAAGTGATTGATCTACAACAAATCTGAGGCAGACTTTTAGTATGCTAATGACGGTAAGATGTACATGCAAAGAAATTCAACGATGCAACGCTGTTATGTGTATAGTTTATTAAAATGGCTGTAATGTATATGTATAAATTTATTTATTTATTTTAAAAATCAACGGGCACGAGCCCTACACAATATATAAGAAAATTTAGTGGTAACACAAGGTTACAATCTACCATCCACGCTTATAAATAACGATCACGTCTACCACTGCCCCACACACTGCACACACTGCATCAGCTGCCTCTTAAAAGCAATATTAGTACTCGCACTTCAAATCTCAGCAGAAAAAGAGTTCCATACTCTCGTTAGGCAAGGCATCACAGAGCTGTGTATATAATTGTGCATGGTATTGGTTTCGAGCAAAGGTTTTACATTTCTTAAAGTACAATTTGTTTGTCAAAAGACAAACTTTCTCGAAGAGGACACCTAAATCAGGAATTTTAATAAGTCTTCTCAGCGATAAAGAACCCAGAGCATAGTCATGAAGTACGACTTCCTTAGACCTAGAAAACGAAATCACAGCATATTTCTTTACTTTGGCTCAAAGATCGTTTGCCTCGCTCCAATTAACAATCGCATCGAAATCACGCTGTAATATCTGATAATCAGAATCTTTATATACACATTTATACGATTTATCGTCATCAGCAAACAAAAAAATTTGTGATCTATGTATCTAATTGATTGACACATAATTCTTACCTTAATAAATAAATTGAATATCGAGGGAAAATAAAAAAAATCAAATAAGGCCTTTGGGCCGATGGCTTGTTCCTGACGAACAAAAATTAAATTTTTTTGTTTGTAGAACGAATGTACGAGTTCTGCCTTTAACGTATAGAAAGTTGGACGTAACAACCTATAAATACTCTTCAGATGCATTGAAATACAGTTGAGTAAATCTCATCTCAGGTAAATAGAGAAGTCGCTTGAAAAATTGTAAATTGAGATCTTGAAAATTACAAAGTTTGCAAGTAATTAACATAAAATATCATTTTTGATAATGTCAAATCAGTTGTGGATAAAATAATTTGGTTACCATAAAGGTTTCTCTCATCTTTGTTTTGTGTTAAGCAAGGTAATGTTGGCGCTTGAAAATGACGTGGCAAAAGCTGATAAAACTTATAGCTTATGTCGATAAAATATGCCTATTTTATTTGTCATCAAGAAACCCTAAAATCATCGATATAGTTTTTTAATATTTCTTCTGAAAGATCACTAATTTAACACGTACCATAATCGTTAAGAAATTGACTATCACTCCAGAAGTATTGATAGACCTCAAATAATAATTTTTATATACAAACTATTTTTAATATTTTAAAAATGAAATTATTATGTCTAAGATGTTAAGAAAATTAAGAGAAAAGTGATCTGCTGTTTTTTGCGCATCTATAAATAGTGATAGGGAAGTTTAACCTTCGTTTTTGCTAATACATTGCAACTTTTAAGTACAATATGTGTAACTCAATATTTTTTATTTTTTTAAAACAATTTTTATATACGCTGAGGACTCTAGCTCGTTACAGCACCTAATGCCAAATTGACCTTAACGTTGGAAGATGCAATTAATTGGCCCCATCTAGGATACTTTATATTAAGTGTAAAAAAATACTTAAAGCAGATAAGTGTACAAAGAAAAGTGAGACACCAATTTGATGTTATAGGTAGTAAACTTACTTAAGGACATTTATTATAGTTAGCGGGGGGGGAAACTCGAATGTGACAGCATTGGCAATTGTTGTGAGTTGATACGTGTAACTGTATACATGCATCTGAGTCTGTTTTTAATTATTTCATCGCAAAAAATAATGGTATGTGGTATTGTGTCTCAAATTTGACATTTGACTTCCTAATTTTGATACGAATATCCCGTTAAAATTTCAAGAAGATTCTATAAAAAACGCTATTTTATCAAAATTTTTAAAAATTAAAAAAATTTTCTTCGTACTGCACAAATACAATAAT